AGAAGAGACAAGTATTTGGCAATTTCCAAATCACTCCACCCATGTCAACTGAAGGGACAAGTCTTGGATGAGGCTGGGGTAGAGATGGGTTTTTACCCTTGACTAGACTGTAGCCATCTGTCAAAACTCACTCTGTTTTTGCGCAAATGTTTTTCCATGTGGATTTGTCCATCAGTTGATAGTTGCCCATCCAGTTTAGTGCTCTTGCAAAAGAGCACTAACTCTTTATTCAAAAGGAGCATAATAGGAGCTATTCTAGAAGAGCTCTAAAGTCATGCTTAAAAGCAGTTCAAGCAAGAACTAAACAAAATAGCCACTGTGCCATGGAGCATCAAAGAGACAGCTCTCTCTTCCGCCTCACCTCGCAGCTCCCCGCCCAGCATGGTTGATTAGATTCTGTTCAAACTAATTCTAGTCTCATAGGTAGGACTCAGCTCAAGAGACCTGGCAGATACAGAGGGAGAGCCCACCTAAAAGTAATCAGACTTATATCAAGAATGGCCCTACAATCCCCATTTTCCTCTGAAATAATGTTTGATTAACCTGGCAGATTTTACACAATTTATGGTACCTTTAAGATAGTGTTGGAATAAGGAGAAAATACTACTTTAGCACCCTATCGAAAAGGTCAACTTAAGCCTCATGGGTCAGAGGCAAAATGAAGACAGAAAAAAGACACTGTCGGGCATATTTGTGCCATTGTTTGGTGCAAAAACAGAAAATGTCCTCCATCTCAAAGAGGAGATAAAGTACCTGTGAATATAGAAACCCCACTGTCACTTGCTTGCCTGCCCTTTTCAGTTAATATCCCTCATCCAATATTGAACTAGAACTCTAGCATCCTGTAAACATCAGGTAAATTTCTCTGGTGTGTCTTGCAGCAATTAAGCAAGTTGGTTTCCATCATTATTTTACAGTCCTTCTCTGCCTGGCTGGTGCTACCACTGCATAGGAATCAAATGTACTCAGAATAAATACATTCCAACCAAACAAGGAAGGCTCAGAGGTGCCTTAAAACAAATCAAGCGAGCATAACGTTATGTAGTTGATACTTGTTCCTCTGCTCAAATTACTGTACTTCCTGGATCGAATAGCTTAACTCATACGCATGAGTTCCTTTTTAATTAAGAGTTGCCCAAGAATTCTTAAGAAAACACAGGGACTTTCTTCAGAAGTTTTGGGTTCTTTAAGCAGGATGCTACAGGCACACACTTGTTGGAAAACAACGAGGAAGCGATAGTTTTTCCCACTCCCCAACCTTGCCCACAATTCTCGGCAAAGGTAGGTTATGGGAGTCTTAGCGCATCACATCAACTGCAGACAGCTGCCTTAGGTCACACTGTCAAAATGACTGATGTCTGGCCAATTTTCTAAAATGAAAGGTGGTTTTTTTTGTCGCACAGAACATCACATTGCAGTACTGTTGTGCTTTATTCTAAAAATCCTTCAAGGGAACTTTATTGTTTCATAAAGCATAATGGCAACATAGTTTATATTTCTTAACCAGCAACTTATTAGTATGGTCACCCAACCTTTTCTTTGTCAGAATAGAACTGAATGAGGTTAAGAAGATGCTATAAATCACTGGTGAGTCACCAGTTATAGTTACAATATATCCAAACAATTTTTTATAGAAAAAATAAAATGATCTTGTGTCACGCTCTTCAAACCTGCTAGATTTAGGCATAAGCTACATTTAGGATTGTAAGATCTGAAGATCTCAAAATTTCAGGTTTTTTAAAATTTAGCTTATTATATCTGAAAGTCTCCAAAAATTAAGCTTCCTGTATGGCATACATGACCCTCCTGGATTAATTAATTAAGTTAGTCTTTGTTTCTACATGTATTTCTACCCTTCTTTTCAGAAATAGCCTTTCTTCACCCATTACAGGTTTGTTGTGCATCTTCATAGCATTATTGCACAGCATTATTGCACATAGCATTATTGCTCACCTTATTGCACAGCCTTATACTCTCTTACTTCTACATTTTCCCATAACTCAGGGGCTTCACCAGTCTAAATCAGACCCTGCCTATCATTATTCCATGGTGCCAGCCCTTCAAGGCAGATCAGACAAGGACGACAAAGTTACGAATGCTAATATTACTTTATTACAAGGTTATAGTAACAGATTCTTGCAAGTTTGGATGTGCTTCTCCAACTCTTCCTTTATCTTCATGAGAATTAAAGTCATACCTGAGATGCTTACTCAGATTATATTTCTGCTCTGGATTCAGATCCTTTTATCTGACCGTAACCTGTGTTGTGCCTCTCTTCCTCCTGTTTTCCTGAAGGTTGCTCCATTATAAGTGGTTACTAAAACCACAACGCAGAAAGCGTGTGCCTTCTGACCCATCCACCCATCACTTCAATTCTCATCATGCCTTCCATCAGAGGTTCGAATGTGGCAACAGAATGCCCCAGGCAAGGGAGAAACACCAAGTCCACATGGGGAAATCCAGGGTTCAGATAGAGGGGAAAAAAGAGACAGAGGACACCTGCCATGGCACTGTTGCTATATTGTCCTAGTGACCCTTTTCCTGGGAGGCTGTTTAAAATGCCAGATCCTTGTTCTGGAGCAAGCTAAGCAGACTGCAAGGAAAGATTGCCCAGAGTCATATGCTTCGTGACTAGATAAATCCAAGCCCACCTTGCATGGCTTTTAAGTATAGTGGAGCATTTCAAGGCAAAGAAACAGAGCTTCCAATACCTCTCCTTTGGAACTGACAGCTGTACATAAAGAAATCCCAAATCAGTGGAACCAGGCAATTACAGAGTGTCCCAAAGGTGCTTTTTCAAAAGGCAACTGGACTTTGTTTTTCCTTGAAGACATTTGGCTTCTCACCCAAGAAGCTTCTTAGTTCTAAGATCAATTAAAAGCACCTGTGGAACAATCATGGCCTGGATGACTGAGAATCTCCACAGACTTTCAGAGGGGTTGCAATGTTAACAACTGCCCCACATTTGTCTTCTCCCTTCGTTGTTGTTGTTTTTTTCCCTTTATGCCATTTAAGGACAAATCCATACAACCCCACAGTCGTAACCCACTTCATCTACAGCCTGCCTCCCTAGAAAACCCCTGTAAATTCAATGGGCGTATTCCGAGGAAAGCGATCATAACGGGGCAGCTTGAGATCATCAGATCGTTGCACCAGGCAGATTCATTTCCTCATTAGGCAGCATCCTCTACAGTCCTCTACCAGCTTCTTTCTTTCTGTCTCTCTCTTTCTTTCTCTTTGTTTCTTTCTTTCTGTCTCTCTCTTTCTTTCTCTTTGTTTCTCTCTCTCTCTCTTTCTTTCTCTCTTTCTTTCTTTCTCTTTTTCTTTCTCTCTTTCTTTCTTTCTCTTTCTTCCTTTCTCTCTCTCTCTTTTTCTTTTTCTTTCTCCCTTTCTCTTTCTTTCTTTCTCTCTCTCTTTCTTCCTTTCTCTCTCTCTCTCTTTCTTTCTCTCTCTCTCTCTTTCTTTCTCTCTCTCCCTTTCTCTCTTTCTTTATCTTAATTTCTTTCTATCTCTCTCTCTCTTTCTTTATCTCTCTCTTTCATTCATTCTTTCTTTCTCTCTCTCTCGTTCTTTCTTTCTCTCTCTCTCTCTCTTTCTCTTTGTTTCTTTCTCTCTTCACTGTGGCGTCGGTGTTTGGACGCGGCTACCTGACGCTATAAACCGCGGATGAGAACAGGGTCCAAACTAGCAAGGCGAGACTCCTCCGGTCCGCGCAGCCAACGCTGCGCTTAAGCTGCCTTGGCCGGGCGAGCGAGGCGACCGCTACACCAATCGCAACCGGCAGCGGCGCCGCCGCTTCTTTCCAAACCGCCACCAGGATTTCACCCGAGCACCGCGAACACACAGCTCCCACTCGCCTCCGGAGCCCAACGGGGGCCAAAAAAAAAGAAAAGAAAAGGAAAGAGCCCCAACCCCGAGGTGGGGAAGCTCCACGCGCGCCTCGCTCCTCCTTCCTCTCGCCGCCACCTTTTCGCCTCTCCTGCCGCCTCACCTTATTGCTCCGGTAGAAAGGTGCGGGTGAGCTTCGGTGCCTGGCGAACTCGGCCAGGTTCTCCTCCTCGAAAGCGAAGGCGCGCATCAGCTCTTCGCCTTCGTCCGCCTCGTAGTGAGCCGCGGCTGCGGCCGCCGGAGCTAAGCAAGCGAGCGCGCCGAAGAGCAGCGACAACCGCGAAGCGCGCGAAAAGCCAGGGCTGCCCATCGCGTCGCGCTTTTGCAAAGCGAGTGTTGGAGCGCGGGAAACCGCAACGCCGGCCTAGGGCCAAGTCGAGGGAGAATCCCAGGCCGAGCAAACACGCCAGCAGGGCGACCCTGTTTTGGGGACCCGGACTGTTCTACCGACTTGGGTTTATAAACTGCCCTTCGCTTTGCGGGTCGCTCGGAAGTAGCAAACGCTAAGTGTGCATGCCAGCGAGTGCGCACCCTCACACGCGCAGAAACGCCGCTCGCTTTTCCTTTCCCTCCCCCCGGCCCACACGTCCGTGTGCTCCTCTAAATCTTTGGGGCGGGGATGTGCCGGATCACGCCACCGTTTCCCCATCGGACCATCCTATCTTGTTAAACATTAATTGGAGTTTTTCTTCATCCGTTGAAATTAAGTTTCTGCCCCTTTTTTTATATTTTTGTTTTCCTGGCGTCATATTACCGGGTTATTTTTTTTTGGGGGGGGGGAGGGGGGAAATTCCCCTACACTGCCCCCAACGAGACAAATGCACGCATTTCTATGCCTGAACATGATTAGAAAATTATGCCTGGAAGCAAAGGAGGAAAACGCCGCCTCTTGCTGCAGAAGGTACTGGAGAGTATTGTATGCTTCCAACGGGCATCGCATTTTTGTGAACCTTACAACTTGTTGTTAAACTCAGGCCGGGGCTAAAAGTCACCGTTGCAGTCAGTCAATATTTGACACTCAGTCAAAGTTGAGGTCCGTCGGCTTTATCAATGACAAGCAGCAAATGGTTCCGGCTTCTAGACCAGATTTCTTTTTTTTTGCGTTGCTGAACCGGGAACTGGGCTTAGAACTTTGTGCAGGTAACAAAAGTCTTATTCTTGAGCTCTGTAGCTCTTTTTACAGGGTACTTTCTTAACTTGTGTAATTCATCACCAAGTTAGACTTTTCTTTGAATCCATTAAACAAGGAGTGGAACTCAGGAGCCTAAATGGCCCCATCTAAATTTGAGGTAGATAGCCCAAACCCTACACAGCTTTAAATGGCATCTATAAAAGAGGATAAGTGTCTTCCTTAGACACACAAATTGTTTCTTTAACATCTCTGATGCTCAGTTAATGCTGGGCTTGGATTGCTAAATTGCCAATTTAGGTTTAATCCAGATTACTTGCAATCACTCTACTGGTTGACTCTAACCTCAGGGCAGACGGTGTGCACAGGTGTGTAAACTGAATCTTTTCTGAAGAACTTTTCACTTTACCAGAAAAGTTAGATAGATTGGGTCTGGACGACTCCTGGAATTATCACTGTTGTGGTTTGGCAAAACAATCTGAATTCAAGTTTGTCCCCTGTATCTGAAGCCCTCTTAATGGAGTCCATAAAGTCAAGGTTTTACTGAACCAAAAGATAGCTGCAATTATGGGGCTGCACAAACTATCAGATTTGCATGAGCCCTAAAATGCTGCAGGAATTTTAACTTAAGAAACTGGGCTTTACAATTTACATAGGCTCCATAAAATATACGGATTTATATATTTTTTTTCTCAAAATATATCAAAACATGCTGAAGTAAATATTTCTTAATGTAGAGAGGCAGATAAATCTAGTGATTAGGGCACTGGATTAAGAACAGAAAACCTAAATTCAAATCCTGCCTTAAGCACAAAGCCAGCTGGTTGACTTAGGCTAATCACTTTCTCGGCCCTAGGAAGAAAGCAAAGGTAAATCACTTCCAAAAATGTTGACTAGGGAACTGATGGACATGTCCATTAGTAGGAGTCAAGACTGACACAAGGCACACACACAAAAATTAGGCAGCTACTGATTTCAGTAGATATAAATCAATGGCTTTAAGATTTTGCTCATTGAAAATTTGGGCTAAGATTAATGTAACCCAGACATGTCAAACTCGCGACATCACGTGACATCGCGCAACGTTTTGGAGCTTTTTCTCCATTGCCGGCAATGGGGTGGGCACAGTTTCCTGGTGATGCGTCCGGCCCATGAGCCGGCAGTTTGACACTCCTGAATTGTAACCAAAAAGAAAGACATTAAAACCAAGTTATACTCTAGGAGGGATTTAAATTTATTTCATACTAGATATTTTACACACTAAAATAAATTATTGAGATTTTTCTATGACAAACCAGAATACCTAAAATTAAGACCAAATGTTAGAATCATATTTTAGTGTTCTTATTTTGCTGGTCTTTCAGCTAATTTCTGGGCCCAGTTTTGAGTCCTTATGAAAGAAGCCTCAGGACTTGATGAAACACTTCCGTATAATTGCACCACTTGAGTCCTAATACTGTCAATGGAAGCACTTTTAGAAATTTTGAATCTCAGAGTATGCAAGCAGGAAGGACAGGAAAGAAAGATCAATGCCTATTCACTAAATACTAGAAAGGGAGTGACCAAAACCAATATACACTTTTTCCCTTTTGCAATTTCATTATATCCAGGACAGCAATAAAATTCTGGACCAGTATTTTGTAGTGTTAGAGAAAATTGGCAGGAAATAAAGTCCAAAGGCAGGAACTACGGTAAGTGGAAAGCTTTGGTTGGAAAAATCTGTTCTGTGGTCTTCTTGAAATGTTTGAAGCTCAGTGCTTAATGCAGTTCAGCCACTTTAAACAAAACAGCCACATCCTTTTGCATCCTTTAATTTTATAATTTTAGGTTTTATGGGTCACTGCTTTTCTGTTGGCTACCAAGAGCTTCTTAAAGCGGATGCTGTGTGATTTGTTCCAAGCAGTTATGCTCTGCTCCTGAATTTCTTTTCAAAATGAAAAGGAAAGACCTCAGAAGAGGAAAAGGAAAGAAAAAATAAGAGATTTGTTAAATGTTCACAGCACTGATGTGGGAAGGAAAGGATGACCACTAGAAGGGTGAGAATCGTGTAATACAGCACTTTATGATACAACCAAAATTCTCCCAAAATACTGATCCAAATATTGAAATAATGAATCTTGTTGAAGAACCATGGTTTTGAGGGTCATACAGAATTATACAAAATACCTTAGCTCTGGACATATTGAAGGATATTTTTGAACAATGGAGCCAGAAGTTAATTTTAAGAGGGTCTGCCTCTATAGATCGACTAGTAGTTAAAAATGTTATGGAAGAACAAGTTTTACTGGACAAGACTGAAATTCATCTGAACTTGGATTTTAAAATGACAGCCTACCAGAATAACATGGAAAAAGATGATACACTGGATATACAAATGAAACCGGCTAATATCTTAATAATTGAAATAGATATATAAATAATAAACTAAAAGAGTGCCCTTAATAATGTTCCTATATTGTATTTACAAAGGTTGTTAAAAGTGTTAAATAATTTGTGAAAAGGGACAAGGAAAAAATAAAAACAAGTTCTAGGACATTGTTTGGAAGAATTAAAGTTCAGTATTGTTAAAAATAAAATGGAAGGAAAATAAAGTTGGCTTCTTTGATCAAGATTTTACATTATCTCTGGTGAATCCTTAATGGACTTTTGCTGAGTAAGATTGAATGACAAGGCTTTAGGGGTTTGTTTATAAATAACAGATGGGATACGGGAATCATATCCCATCTCTTATCCATAGAAGGTGAAAAATTAGTAAAATTATGTATACTTGTGATGAAGATAGGAAGTAACTTCTTCAAATACATCTTTTCTTTACCCACATTCTTATTTTTTTCCATTTCTCGTAAAATTTTCACTTTTTTCTTTTTCTTTTTAGTTTGTATTAGTTTTTAACTGTTTGAATTATAATCTTTAATAAAATTATTATTAAAAAAGAAGTTACAAAACTGGATGGGAGATGTGAGCCATCACATGGTGCATAATGGCTTTTCCTGCCACGATTCTTCTAGAGCTCAAACAATCTGCTTAACTAAAGATTGGGTTGGCTAGGTGTGTGTGTGTGTGTGTGTGTGTGTGTGTGTGTGTGTGTGTGTGTGAGAGAGAGAGAGAGAGAGAGAGAGAGAGAGAGAGAGAGAGAGAGAGAAGAAAATAAACAAATTTGCAAAGAATTTGTTTCTATACATCTGGAGTGTAGAAGCAAATAACAAAAATAGCACTGTAGCAATTTTATAACCTTACATATGACATTTATAAATATCCAGGTGACTTCATGACATATTCGGGCTATTCATTTAAAACATTTATATAGCCGCCCATCTTATACCAAACTCCGTGGCTCTGAATCGGGAATTAAAACAATATCAGTAGCAAAGCAACACAAAAACCATATTAATGTCAACGCTGCTAACATCGGATGTTCTTGCTTTGACAACAGATGGAAATGTAGCCATCTTTTCTTTTTCGCTTTTAGAGTTAGATGATGCTGGGAGGGGGGATGTGGATGATAGTCCAGTTACTCATAACAACAATAACTCAGCCGTGGGAATCAAGGTTATTGTGCCCAGAGCTGATAAAGATTTGGCGGGCTGGAGAGCTGGGGGAGAAAGCCCGCGCATCAAGCTAATTGGGGAATGTGATTTATGACTGTTAATTGGATGAGGGAATTGTGGTTTGCTACTTTGTGCGGGGGGGGTTAGTTTTTGGCTTTAACTATGTAGTGCCGATACTTTGTTTCTCGAAGAAAAGATTCTTTAAGATAAACAATGCCTCAAAGTTCTTTTAAAGAGTTTCATCTGTCGGAACCATAACATTAAGCCAAAACCTCCATTTTTTTCCTAACTATCTTGGGGTCCAGAGCCCCAGTCGCTGTCCCTAGAATTGAAGGATAAGCCAACAGATTCGGGGAAGATCTCAACATAGAGAAAGAAAGAGCACCTGAAACCAGTACCTCGCCGGCGGCTGCTACCCCAGAGGGGGGAGCGACAGTCAGTGCGCCGGTGGAGAAGGAACTTTTTCAGATCTCCCAGCTGGGGGCAAAGCCCAAGCCACAAGGACAGCTGATCTGGTCATCGGAATGGACCCTACCCAGCAGAGACTCAAGACAGCCTTGCCACCATCAAGTGCTTCAAAAGCAGACAAGGTTGAGCTGCAAAGAGGGGATTCCCGCACGTCGCGTTCCCCAG